TGCCGGCCCAAAGACAAAAATGTCTAAGCAAGAGAGAATGGGTCATGCTGAGGTCCTAGGCAGCAGCCCAGGGTTATGGGAAAGGGATGGGCTACTGAGTCACAGCTAAAGACAAATAAAAGCGAAAGACTGTGGGAGGGCCAGATGAAGGCCGAGGAAGTTAGAAGCATGTGTTAAATAGAGAAGACAAGAGTCAAAATGGGCAAATGTGAGGGAAAATATGGGAAGAAAATACAGTTGGGTCGACATGTGCGTGACAACTTCTAAATGTTTTCTCTATTTAGACCATCACAACAAAAGCAAATTACAAAAAAGATAAATAAATAGGACAGATCACATGAGTGTGTGTTACAAGTGCATCATTGTTTCTAAACAAGTCCTTGTGCACAGATGCACGGCATACAGAAGCGAGGAATGTTCTTCCCCTGCAAGTATAAATTTCGGGATCCTCTATCCCAAGAAAGTGACAGAAAAAAGGTGGAGGAAGAAGAAGCAGAGGGAGTAATGAGACTGCGAGAAGAAGAGACTGGAGGGAGGAGACAGTGCGTGTGAGTACAACTGGTGAGGGTTTTGCCCAATGCTGCTTCTCTCTGCAACAACAGAATGGAATCCAGATGTCAAAATGATAAACAAATGGATTGTCATAACCCTTTAAAAATGTGAGGCATTCAGAGGCACATCAACTGCTTCACGTGTCGGTGAAATGTCAGATTTAGCTACAGTAATACCCATTTTTAGTGATAAAGTGATAATTCCTCCGTTCTTTACGACCTGCAGTGTCACCTTCATCCCAATTTTTTTATTCCCGCAGACACAGCCTGAAGGTAAAATCAGCGTTTTTAAAAATGTATTCAAATGTCTCGAGTCCTTTAACTTAGAATCGTATAAGACCAATGAAGTCGATGGCGTACCATTTAGCAAGATGGCCCACTAAGTGTAGTGTGAATTTATACTAACTACTGATAGTTTGTTTGTTTGTTTGCTTTAGAAATAAAAGACATCATAAATTATACAACTTTCTGAGGCTTTCAGAAAAAACACAAACTAAAACATGGCTTATTTCCTGTTGTTGCAACTGAAAGACTTTGACTGTAGCATCCTCACTGCTAGCTGTGAGCCATAAATCTCAGGCTGTGGCACGTCAAACCTGCTCAGCTCTGGTTTACAACATCAGCTTTCAATCTAAGCGTCAACTCAACTTGTTTGACAAACAGTGACTCAGCAGCCGAAAAGAATGCCTAGTTTTATACCGCTGAGAAAACACACATAGTTATTTAGTCTTATTAGGAAATGTTGCAGCTGCATTAGACTTGTATTGATATTTTGAGGATGTTAACAGCTGCTATGCTGTGTTCCTGACTAAGGCAAAAAAACTCTAGACTCCAACCTGTTTATAATCCCATTCTTGCCAGCCTCTAACAACAAACCTATTTGTTGAGATTAACTATAATTTGTCTTCAATCCACTTCCTTCTATTTTGAGACAGCACGACAATCAAGGTTTATCACAAGACGCCTCAACACCCTGCAGTGTCATTGTAAAATCCTGCACACAGTGTCTGAACTGGTGGGAAATGCTATTGTAATACATGAAAAAAAAAACAAAAACAGGGATTGTAATTGACTTGGATGAAGCAGGAAGTGGTTGGTATTCAGTGTCTCTGTGATAGGACAACAGACGTAAATACACACAAACCAGCAAATCTAAATTAGGAACATGGTGATTTTGGTTGATCTTACTTTCCGGAAAAGACAGCATTAAGTAGTCACACATGTGTCGTAAATGTTAACGGAACTTTGAAACCATGCCAAGGTGCATTTTTAGTTCTAAGTGCAAATGTCTGCCCCCTGTCTGCACTTCTGTCATTAGACGAGAAGGAATTCAAATCCTCCATGCCTTTGATGTATAATTTATTCTAATGTTCATGTGTGTGTGACTGTATGTGTGTGTACGTGTGTGTACATAAAAGTCAATATGTCAACATGCTTTATCTTTCCTCAGTGAATAGGACTTTCAGCCGTGGAGCAGCACATGGATCTTTTGTAAACTGATTCATATCCATGCCCGTGTTTTCCCATGGATTGGTCGGAGAAAACCACCAAAAGTCCTCCAGTCATTGTGAGGCGGCCACACATGAAAAGCCATGTGCTGTAAATACTCATTTGTGTCTTATTTGCTGACCACTTTTCCTTATCTTTTTCATCGTTGTCTCTTGCTGTTTGCCCTCTCCTAATCTCCCTTGGATCTCTCCTGCTACTTTCCCAGGCATGGTGTGGGCAGTCACAGAGGCAGTGGCAGTAATGTCCAAGTCTTTCCCATGCAGCCTCATAGGAAGGCCTTTGTTTCCATCCAGGCTTTGGGGGTCCCCGCAGCATGACTGTGCCCCACTCCACTGCCTCCACAATAGTTCTTTATGCTGCCAAGTCCTCCTCGTCACTCTACCATGCTTTCCTCATCAGGGGCACAGGGAGGCACTGGGGGCACAACGGCGCTGAAATGTCACCCCCTTTTATGCCCCGTCCCAGTCTCTATCGCCAATACATGCCTGCAGAGTCAAATACTATGGAGGAGCATTGCTGAATAGTCACAGGCCGATCAGAGCGGTTTGTGAACGCTGCCAAATGTCTCAGTGTGGTACTGTTTTCATATTCAACTCAGTAACATTTGACACCGCCAGCAAAAGACCGGGTTCACAGCAGGGGGTGTTTGATAACACACTGTAACAACCTGTTAGCAGTGATGCTGAAAAGTAGCAGTGTCTTTAATACTCCCTGATGCATGCTTTAAAAAAAAGAATAAATACCAGCTTTAAATATAAATAATTATCTGTTGACAAGGTTATTTTAAGATAAGGATGCCCTTATGGTAGATCAGCTGGTAGATAAGCTATTTTTATATCCAATCATGCAAAACATTCACATTTGGTGAATCTGTGAGCATGCTTTGCTACATGACTTGTCCTATGATCTTAAGTCTGGATAACCGAGCAGCCACAGGAACTTACAGACAATATGGCATTTAATTAAATAAGGCAAAAAAAAAAAAACAAAAAAAAAAAAAAAGAAGACGTCTTATTGCAAAACACATATGGAGACAATTTCATTAAATCAAGATTGATTTTTCTTGGTTTCTTTGTCCAGAACTTCATGCCATCCCTGCTGTTCTGCATTGATCTAATACAGTGAAAGCTTTTGTTTACAGTGCAGTGCACCATTATAATGTAAATGGAACCGGTATCAGACTCCAGTGTGAACACACTGCAGCAGTTAAGTGACATGCAGGTGCAAAAGAAGACGTACCGCACATGCAGCGTACTGTTTTGTTGATGTTGTTGTGCAATCAGTTTGATTGCTTTGTCATCAATTGGAGAGATTCACGTGGAATGATCCCCGGCGCTCTACTGTAAGTGCAGACCTCCGGGGCGATGTCTACTGAGACTAGCTTTGCTGTCAACACCACAGATCGGTGGAGTGAATGACAGTCTTATTTTATCTCTGTACTAACTTCATCAATGGTGTCTGCCATGATTGTTTTGTCCATCTGTCCTGTCGTTTGCCTGCAGTGTTAACACAGTCAGAGATGTGGTACCTGATGAAACTCTCTCACATGTTCCCAATCACAGCATTCGCATTAGCTGCCATATTTGATACACTGACGTGCCGTCACAAGCTCTGAGGAATGGGTGGTCCCGATAACTTGTTCACTGACTCAGCCATTAGCACAATCAATGCACTAAGACAACTACTGGGTATGCAAAACGAATCAAATGAGCACAGTATGTAGCAAACCAAGATGACGGAACCAAGAACCATCCAACTGCTCATAAGATAATCCACAGTTAAGAGACAGAAAGAGGAGCATAACATAAACAGACACAACATCCAAAATGATTCAAAAAGAACTCTTGGAAAAACAATGTGTCTGCGATGTAACATGTTGTTTCT